ATCTCCAAAGAAGGAGAGAAGAGACCAACAATCACAGCAACAGCTCCTATGGCCGAAACACATAATAGTGATCTGGTTGTATTTCTTACTTTAATCTGATGTAAAAAAAAAAAATTAGGATTAGCAGTTGTAAAACAAAAGTGAAGAGGTGTCATAACATAGATGAAACCTTAATCATATTTAGCAGAGACCCTCATACAGTATGCCCCCCTCTGAAACAACAAACAAACCAATAATCAACCCCCAAAGAACAACCCCCTTAGGAGGAGATGGGAGGCCCCTAATGAGCCATTCCCCCCAGCATCTCCCTTTGCTGAATCTGTGACATTGTCATGATCTAAACCTGCCAGTGTCCCCTTCCACTGCAGCATCAAACCAACAGCAAAATATTTCCACCTTTAAGAAGACTAAACATGTAATCCTATTATGAATACTAGTAGGATGATGAATGTGCAGAGTAAGTGCCGCTATTGGTGAGAGAATAAATAAAGCCCTATACAGCACAAAAAGCCTTATATAAAGCCTTATAGAAAAAGTAAAAAGAAACTTTTAAGGTTAAAGTCAATAAGATCTTATTTCTGAATAATTAACTGTCACGCAAGGCAGACAGCATTATGCAGGCAAAATCAATCCTGAGCACAGTCCCAGTCACACTAAAGTCCAGCTTCCTTTATATCATTGATAAATTATATATAACCATATTACATCAAAGCACTCTATTTCTGTGCAATTAGTTCAGCTGTGCATTGGATTGATCTGTAGCCATCGATATTACATGCGTTTTCTTAGAGGTGTTCAGAGCAAATCAAACATGTTGTATTTTGTTAAACCTTGAAAGACACGGAATTTTCAGTGTGATGATTATCCTGGACAGATCAATAATAAAAATACATATCTCACAAACTATTGATCATCACATTATGGATATACCAGAAATATGCATTATCCTGTTCAAATAGCTTTTCATTGACATTTAAATGCTATGGAGTAAAAAAGCCAATATAAAATGGCTTTCACGACCCTGGACAGAGAAGCTCAGGGAGTATCTGTACCTGGCAAGTACTGTATGCTATATTGAGGAAGAGGGCACTCCATTGGAGAGCAGTGACCATGCAAAAGATGTCTTTACCTCCTTCCTCTTCAGTCTCACACCTTTTACTCAGTGTGCAGCCGGGCCAAACACCAGCAGTTTACTGGAAATTATGGAGTTAGAAAAGGGGAGAGCAATGACAGAGAAGGCAAAGGAGCCTGTGTCCATCTGATACTATACTTTCTAAACAATTTGGCTGCAGAAGAAGAAATCCCATGTTTTAAAAAGGCCTGGTAAAAATGTGGACATCCCGAAAACCTCATCGAAATGTTGTGGCAGGACCTGAAGCCCGCTGTCCAAGCAAAGTCGGCACTCAAACGTCACGGAGCTGAAGAAGTTCTGTAAGGAGAAGTGTGCCAGAATTCCTCCAAACTGATGTGAGAGACTGAACAATGGTTACAGGAAATGTGTACTTGCAGTTATTGCTGCTCAATGGGGAGCCATACTCATTGAATCTAAAGGTTCACACACGCTTGTGTCACTTACTGCATCGGGTTAACTTTATCTATTATTAGGACTTAATACCAGGTGCCAAATACTGTACATGAGAATCCTAAGGGGTCGTCAGACATTTTTTGGCATTGTACTTAACTTGCCATTTCTTCCATTAACCATCCTAGAGTTAATCGCACTTATTTTTCAATAGGTAAAGATTATTATTGATATTTAGGATTACACATTGATCCATTACTTCACTTTAATCATACTGGTAATGATTAAAAGGAGAATTGAGAAAGTGTGAGGTTCTCAGATATAATTCACACCTTCCTGCAAATAATCAAGAACCTGGCATTCTCAGAAAGTGTAATGGATTTTCTTTTCATTTACAGTTCTACATTTTATTCATTGTAAAAATAAATCTTATCATAATCTACAAATAGAGAAGAATGAATAAAAATCAGAGGAGAATTTATAAAAAGTATTTACAGTATTTCTGGAAACAGTACAAATAAGAGTCATTTTATTGGGCCATATTGGTGTGGTATAATCATCCCAGTACCTTCCTTCACTTTTCTCACAGGTTGATTTGTAGTATGTTCTTTCCTTTTCCTTTATTTTTGTAAGTTGTGGCTGCATTACACAAAAAACACAAACTCTCACTTTTGCAATGGGCACAGTTACAAAAATGTCAGTGTTCTGTTTGTCACAAGGAAAACACAATTTACACTTCACCGCAATTACAGATGGCTGAGGCCAAATAGAAAACATCCCGCAGCTTCATGGATCTGCATGTCATGCCTGATAGATGAGGGGAGAGCCAAACATCTGCTGCAAAGTTAGTGAAGGATGGATGCACTGTAAAACCTTGCAAATGGGGAAAGGAAGCATATACTGTATGTCTTACAAGAGCTGCCTTATCTGCTGGGGAAGGAACAAGTAAAGATTTATTCCATGCTGAAAAGAGAAGGAAAAAAACACAATGTATGGAGCCTTCTGTAGGTGGCAGACACGAAGAAGGGTGTTGACACCAGAAAAAGCCTCTACAGCTGAAACATTGTGTTTCTTTTCTTCTCTTTTCAGCATGGAATACTTCTTCCTTTGCAGCCTAAGCATGCTGACGCAGCTGCCTACTTGTTTTATCTGCTGTATTTCTGTTTCTTAACGTTACACTCCATCGAGTTTGATGTGTATTCAAAGCTCAAACCAAAACAGACAGTTCTGCTTAGCGTTTAATAGCAAGTCACTAAGATTAAAAAAAGCTAACCAAATGAGTGAAATACCAATTTTGCATACATTTTAGGTAATAACTACCAGTACATTTATTTCAGCAATTGGCTACTTATTTTATTTGGTAAAATAAATATTTAACATACATGAATTTAACACATATTAATCTTTTGTTCCTGCACTTGCTCACAAAGGCATTCAACATACAGCATGAAATAGTGTAGGGTATTCTACTAGTGTATAGCACATACTTCCCACTCTGACAAGTCTGAAAAGTCGGAGAATTCTCAAAACCTGTTTACAAAAATATACAAAACAATCGAGGGGGGGAGCTGTACCAGACGCTTGAAAAAGGCTCAACAGCCAAAATGTTGTATTTTTCAGCATGGAATTAAACATTTAATTCTGCAGTTTGTGAAAATTCTTAAAAATTATTAAATGAGTCAGCTCATGCTGTATAAAGGGACAGTGTTCTTGATGCACTTCATATTTTGGAGTTAACTCACATGACTTGGGAAATTACAGTGCTGGTTGAAGAGTAAAGCTGTCACAATCCCCCTAATATGCAAGAAATGAGCCAGGGAGTATTTAGACGGAGGCCAACAGAAGCGCAACATTAAAATTTGACCACCTCCCAAATTTCTATTAAATAATAGTTTTGTCAAATTCTAATGCTAGTCTACTACTCCATAACGACTCTGAATTTTTTTAATTAATCCATGAAGAGATACTGTATTTTAAAATAAACGCTAAAAGAGTGATCCATCTTTCCTTTCTAATTGCGATCCATAACAACATTCTTGCAAGTCATCATTATATTCGACATCATCCTGTTTTCCTCTCTCCCTCACACCTGAAGAAGGCTCCACATTTAAAACGTTGTGTCTCTTTTCTTTTCAGCATGGAATAAACCTTTACTTGTTCCTTTGCAGCCTACGCATACTGACACGCTACAGTACCTACTTGAACATCATTATATTGTTCTAACTTTTCACATCTGAACTGATGTCAGGACTGCCAGCTTGCTACTGATGTTAAAGCACAGGAGTTTAATAGATACGCTATCTAAATTCTCTACAATCCAGGATGCCACTAATACACTCTCCCTTTCTGCACTGCAGGAGCTTAGACACTGTCCCCTTGTCCTCTGCCCCTGACTACTGATGTACGGACTGTTGCTTCTCCTGAGGAATGTCCAATTGTGCACTGGGCCAACTAGCTGACCCCTTTCCTGACTGTGGATTTCCCTTCCACAGGAGGCAAATCAGTCAGTTAAGGCAGGTATGCCCAATTTACTCTCGAGAAGAAGGAGACTTTAACCAAACCTCAACTTGTTTCATCACACCCTATGGGATTTGATGTCAAGTATGGATTGTGATCAATGCAGAAGGCTAAAAGGACTGTTTCTTTATGGAAATATAGACTCTGCCTTGGGGTCTGGATAATGGCATAAAACATCTCTCTACTTATTTGCAGTGGAAAGCCTATAAGACGAATCAATTCTGCAAAGGATTTCTTGTAGGCATAGGTGTCTTCTAGGGTGTCTCATGTTACTGTTAAGTGCTCTGTTCTCTATTCTCTCTAAGGAAACCTTGCTTGGCTTAGTAGCCTAATTTTTCCTGATGAGTCACAGAACACTGTTACTCCAAAACTGTATTTACAGAATATGTACTGTATGTTTGCTTCCACCTTGAAAAGTCATGAAACCATTTAACTTGAACCTGTTCACCATTAAAAAAAACTTTAAAATAAAATATTTGCCCTGAACAGACACACATGGCCATTCTTCAATGATGCAATCCAATACATTTGATTTTCAAAGGTCAAAAGAAAATGAGCAAAAATGCTTCCCATCAAGTGTATTTACCTGTCACCAATAGTAATAAATGTACTTGTCCCTTTTAAAGAATTCTTAAGTTATTTTGGTTCTGTCAGCTTTTGTGTTTAAGTATTATAGGTTTCACAACAATGGTCAAGTTAATTTCTTCTGCTTCATTGCTCTTTTGTGTTTTAAAACAATCAAACATGTGACCAGTTGTTTCAATGAGAAGCTTGAACTATCAGCCAAATACAATTAGATCTCAAGATGCATGGCTGGAAACACATATTGTACAGTATCTGCACAACAGAACCACTTTTACAGCAAAATTAAGAAGAAAAAGAGCTACATCAATCATTTTAAATATAGCAATATGAGTTAGTTCCCTGTTTGCATCTGAGCATTGGGAGGTAGTCACTCTACTGTAGAGCCTCCTGCAGAAAACAGCAATATGGCACCAAAAAAGTCATTTTTGGCTATGAAACAGATCATTTGTTTCCAGATTTTAATCCTGACCTTCACTGAAACAAGAACATCAAAAAGTAGGTATTTATACAAATTTGCATCGGATTTATATACATATTAGATAATTCAGACAGCTTTAATACTGTAAATTAACTTATTATTATGTTGTACTGTATTTAAACTGATATATATTAAAAATGTTTAAGGCTCATTTTATAATTTATCTTTTTGGACTACACACACAAATATTCTTTTGCACTGTACATACAATATATACTTGTGTGTGGCCCCCAAAACTTGTGGAAGCATTTGAGTGACTTGTGATTTTAAGGATATATTATATTTGAAGCAAATACTTATAATTAAGTATACTAAGAAAGTGAAGCAGAACAATGACCAAACCAAACAACAGCAGATATTGTATAAGTGCAAATTTATCTCATACAAATATTTTACACAAGAAAAATGTTTGTAGTGCTGCTTTTGTAGTGTAACAGGAACCTAAGACCATAGTCTAATTATTTTTTTAAACTCACATTCCATTTATTTATTTCCTTTCCTTTTAAACACTAAGACCTCTTCATCATCTCTTCTCTTAGCAGGTTAAACTGTTTTACATGTACTTAACGCTTTTTTACATTTTCATGAAACTCATTGGTAGTTTGTAATGGCTGGTTTATTTTTTATTTATAGATGTTATTTTCTCCTAAATAAATTTGCTTGGATGTTAAATCAATTTCTGATGGTCTATTGGTGTATAGACATTTCCATGATTAATATGAACATCTGAAAACATTTTCTCCATAACAGAATATGTATTTTAAAAATTAATATGCAGATCCAGCAGAAAAGCAAGGACCAAACTGTTTATTTTCAAAACTTGCTAAGTCAAAATGGGAAACAGATACTGTTAAATATACTCATCTAGATTAGTCCTGTAAGAGGAGACTACAAGGGAACCTGACATTTTCAAAATCAGAACCAGCAGTGAAGTAATCAGGATCAGAATCTCTTTGAAAGTTTTTTATGTTACTTGTGCTACTTTCTTATTCTACTGAAGATTGAATTGATATGCTCTATTGGAGACTTGAATTTACTGTGTTAACAATAATAATAATAATAATAATAATAATAATAATAATAATAATAATAATAATAATAATAATAATAGTAATAATGTTCTCCTGCAGCATTTCCTCCAAATGATACTGTAAAGGTTCCTACCAGATTAAGGTGAATAGCCTTTACATGGAGCAAATACCAAGGATCAAACACAAAGCACAAATCTGGCAGTCTGGCTAGGTGAATCAAGAAGTGTCTGAAAGCTGTAGAAAAGGCTGATATTTGCAGCAGGTCGTGAGAAAACCAGGGGCATTCATTCAGTAACATAGGCCCTTTGTACATAATTAAAAAAATTGGAAACAGTACCAAGGTAACATGGTACTTTGGTGATTTATACTGCTGCTACTTGCCAGGTTTGAAATCAGCATTGAGTATTATGATATTCTTACAATGTCCTCCCACCATCCAAAGACACACTGTTAGGTGTCTTTGATTTGGTTGCCGAAGTCCAAGTAGGTAGCCACTTCAGCATGCGTAGGCTGCAAAGGAACAGGTAAAGGTTTATTCCGTGTTGAAAGGAAATTAAAGGAGACACGATTTTTCAGCTGTGGAGCCTTCTTCAGGTGCCAAATTAGTCTGAAATCTAATGTCTTTAAATTGTGTGTGTGCCTTGTGATGGAATGCTGCCCCAGCCAGGATGCAGTCCCATTTTGCATTCTGTTTATCAGGAGGGAGTCTGGGATGCTGCTAGCCTTTCCATGAATATGGGCTTTCTGATACTGGATGGACAAAAATGTTGTTTTTGTAAAGATGTGAAATCATGCAGAAATAAATACCTGTATATTCAATACCTAATGTTTAAATACAAAAGGAAGTCTGTAACCTGCATTTAACATTTGTAGAATATGTTTTGTCATATTAAATCTTAAACCAGCTATCTTAATATCTTTTATCATTAGCTGTGACAAAGAAGCTTGATTCTCAGTTGTTCCATGCAAAGGGAAACACTAAATTAAAGCAGTAAAATAGCTACAGTGCCTCAGAATTATTTTTTTGTGATTTATTCTAGTGCAGAAATGCAGAGAACCTGAGAGCATAACTCATTTAATTTACGTACTACTCAAGATTGATTCCTAGTAAAATAAACATCTTTTTTTTATTTTATTTTGCAGGCGATTGCACAGTAATGACATTTTTGGGAAATGGGTCCAATATTTTATCAGATTCAAAGGAGATGGTGGGATGTATTTTAGGAAAGAGTGAAAATAAAACAGAGCTTACACAGAGATATATTAAATGTGTGGGTAAGTGTGTAAATCTCTTTTCTGTGTTCAATTTACTGTTCTTCATGAAATGTGTGCATAGCAAAAAAGTAAAAGAAAGCACTTAAGCAGAAAACTTAAACAGAAAATTCCCTCCTGAAAAAAAACTACACTTTGAAACATACTGCAAATTAATTGTCTTTTTTCTTTAAGTAGTATGAAATTGTAATGCATTAATCAGTCCTGGTGTCTTAATAGTCTTATAAGGATATTTGGTTGCATTAGAGATAAAACAATGGAACGTTTTTCAGAAAAAGAAAAAGATCATTTCTAATTAAAAATACAAATTAGGATATACTCTAATAGAATAGGTATCGACGTTGCAGTGGTATATTGTAGCAAATATACAAATGCTATATAAAATAGCAAAACAGTGAAAAAATAAAATGATCATTTTCATTGATCCATATTCAAGTGAAACTAAAATCTAGCAAATAATTTTAGGCCATAATATTCCCTTTGGCCTCTCAAATTAAATCAGTAATTAGATTTGCCTGCTGGGTCACCACAATTTTGTATCTAGTCCATCTTAAGAGGAAAAGTGAAAGAACAAACAATTTGGAATTTATGAACTGACATTTAGTAATATATAATAGTGCCAATCTTGACCACTCTAAATAGGCAGGGTCAATGTCTTATGAGGCAATTTCAGAAAGTGAATTTAAAAATATATATATTATTTTATCAATCATGTTTAATTGTTCTTTTTGTGCAGCTGTGGGATATTAGTGCCACAGTTACAATAAGAGTTACTGGTTTCTGGTTTCAGTGATATAAAAAAGTAGTATAAAACATACCATCACACCATTTTAGGTCAAGTCAGCTTCTAAATGAAGAAGCTTGAGAGTCGAAAGTTTGTTTAATCAGTACGTTCTAGGATATTATAATATAATAGCTCACTAATATTTATATTCCCATAACTCACAATCTTTAAAGATTCTGTAACCCTCAAAGGTATTCCTTGTAAGATACATTTTATATCAAACTGGGAGCGTTTCAAATTAAATGATAAAAAATATAAAATAAAAATAAGAACTATCAATTGAATATAAAATATCATGTTCGTGATACATCGTGATACAAGCTTGGTATGCAAGCAAATTCTAAAAATGCTTCAGAATGATATTGTCTGTAGTCAGGGAATACCAAACTTTACAGAACATGTGTGTTCTTGCTTTGCAGTTCTGTGACCAAGTACGCTAATAACCAGGAAGCAATCTTAAATACAGGACAAAAACAATTATTACAATGAATTACGGAAATACATAACAGGCAGTATTTCACAGACATTTACGGATCTTAAATTGGGAATGACTGTATGACTACTGTACCTAGTAGTCTCCCACTACACAGGACATACATATTCTGTTGATAATATTCTTATAACTAATTTGCGGTTCTCCTTATAATACAGATATGAAAGTCATAAAGGGCGATAAGGGAACCTGTGTCCAATCAAACATGAATCCTGCCAAAGACTAAATAATCACCATTTAAGACAATTTACCTGTACCTATTCAAACTGTGTGCCATGAAACAGTGAGAGATGTTGAACACTCTTGGATTCCACAAACAGAAATTCAGTATTTTCAGCAATATTAGACAACAGGTCCCTTAAGGCCTAGTTAGTATTCTCTTTAGCGCTCATGTTACCTGGACAGGTAAAGGTTCTCTGTTCTCTTTTGAAGGATGTTGGTAACTCTTGCATGTCCCAGATGCTTCTCTTTGCAGTGTTTTTTTTTTTTTTTTCTATGTGTGTGTGGCTTTTAATCCTCTCTTGAGACACAGTATTCCTGTGCAGACTGGCTTTATGATCTCAACAGGAATTATCCAATCACTGTTAAAAATGTATGAACTAAGCAGACAAAACTGCAAATCAGATCAGTCTAAATTAAAGATTAGTTAACCATTTGCATAATTATTTGGCTATTGTGACTACTTCAAGTGAGTTGATCAGATAACAGACAATTATGTACTGTACAGTAAATGTTAAAAGTTTGCCCATTGTTTTATACTTACAGAACAGGGCATGTTTGATAGTAAATTTAAAATAAGAATATCTGGATGATATGCTACAATATATGTACCCACTTCACTGATTAAAGGTCAAATAAAATGCTAGCCATGACTGCTAGCTTTGATGTTATACACATAAAGCAGAACTAGAAGCCTACAGTAGTTAGATGGTTCTTCTATCTAGCATTGTAAAACAGCTAGAGAAAATTACAATTCACACTCCCATTATAGATAGACTTGCTCATTTTTTTTTACTTTTCCCTGTTCTATACCTGCTTGTAAGGCTGAAATTCCAGTAAACACTGCGAGAGCAGAACTCATCTCATTTAACAGAGGTAATTGAGTTTAAAAAATGAATTTATTTATTTTTTGCAGAAAATTGTTTTCTTACGAAATGTTACACTTCCAGACCATACTGCAAGCTTATTTTAAGTATTGTGAAGACAATAAACAATGCAACTAAGAAAAACAAAAAGGGTTTCGCTAATCCCACCAGTCGGGGTAAGAATTTGTTAAATTGCTTTACTTACTAAAACAACGGTAAATTGTCTAAAACAACAGTAAACAACAACAGTTACTGTAACAAACATCAAATTACAAAATGAAAAGGTACAGAAACAAAAACTGTCCTACTATGGGTGAGAATCCAAAGTAAAATTCTAAATTTACAAATCAGTAATGAATCAAATCAATATGGCACTGATATAACAAATGAAAGAACTCATATTTTCTACAACACTTACCAAGAATAACAGTATTTTTGGATAATTGATGGGTGGAATTAACAGCTGTTAAAAGGAAATAAAAAATATAAAGCAGCAAACATCTTCCTCATGTAATACAGCTTCTTGTGATGATTTTAACTTAAATAATAAAATGGTTGTTTTTTTTGTGTGGCAGACAAATGTTGTCTCAAGGATCTGCACAATATAGAGGCTGAAGATCTTTTGTCATCTGTGCCAGTTTCCTCTCCATTTCCTGTATCCTGCTCCAAGGGTTTTTTTGAAATAACACCAGAGGTGACCTGTGAGTATACAGCTAACAGAAGCTCGCCTGTCTGGAGCACTAAGCATCCCTGTGTGGGTAAGGCTATTGCTTTCTTTGGTCATAATATAACATACAGTATACTGTACCACATGTATAATAGACTGTGGGAAGGCAGCACAATCCAATCACATTAAAAAGAAAATGTATATAAAAATGGAAATTACTGATTTCAGATGCATTAGCATAGACATCAGGTGTACATCTGTGTAGGTACAGTATGTCAGTATTGTGCTATTATTAGGCAAATAAGAAAACACTGACATTGCACAGAAATTGTGAGAATTCCCACAAAAATTGATTATCTTTTCTATGAAATCAACTCAATACACTGAACTTAAAAATAAATATAACACGATTCAAGCATGTGTTTTTCAAAAAAGAGTTTACACAGGCTTTTTATATTGATTAAATGTTTTATGTTATATTTTGATTAATCGGTCACTTGTGATACACTCAAGTGACTTTGACTATGTGAAATCACCTCATTCATTGGTTAATGGAGTGTTGCAATTCGTTGAATGTCAAGCGTGTTGAAAACCCAAAAAAAGAAAAACATAGAAAGAAACCAATATGCCCTGCTTATCAAGAGAATAATGCCTGAATTATTCACTGGTGTTAGATCATTAGTTTGTCACTGATTTGCCTGCAAAGGAGACCATGTTCCAATAATATTTTTTTATTTTGTTTTCAGAATTGAGCTTGTTTGAGTTACAATTTGCAGGACAGGATAAATAGATCTGAATAGAGTATATAGATATGGATTTGAAAGAGCATCCTTCCAGTTTTTGGTGGAAATTCAGGACATATGTAGTAATGAATTATGGGTATGACTATGAGTTAACTTTTCAGCCAATTATAACACTATAGGAAAAGTGTCTTCCAACTTTTCTTGTACATAAAGAGTCAAAGGAGGATGTTTGCTGCATATTCCTCTCTATTAAATATAAACAAAATAAATATAAATGTAAAATATTATGGTATATCATTATGAAGTTATTTTTTTTGCAATGGGTGTCATTTGAAATACACCACGTTTATGATCCGTATGATATTAATACATTTTTTTGTTGTTATGGCCTTGTGATTAATTATAATGAAAAATGGAGTCAGAAATACAATCCAACACTGATCATAATCATAATAATTCTACTACATGGTATAAGTATTCCAAGAAATGAGATATTTTGAAATTAGGTAGTCTGATAAACTCCATTTGGATTCATAAACTTTTCATAATCTATTATAGCTTTTTGTTGTTCTTTTTTTACAGAAATACCAAATGTGTGGGTGAAATTTAATGAAATATCATCTGAGAATGTCAGCTTGACATGGAACTACACTCAAATTCCAAGCAAGGTCTATTATGTTAATATCACCGTGAGTTGTCAGCTGGAGAGATTATTTGGACGGACCTGTTCCAGGCATGAAAGTGCAACTGTCCATCCAGAAGGGCCGGGCGAAATAACTTGTGCAGCACTACGGCCATTCTCACACTACTTTCTAAATTTCACGGTGAAGGTCTTCAATACAAGGCTAAAAAACAAAACCCAGAGACTGGAGTTTGAAGGCCCGCTGCAAAATGAAGTAATCTTCTTCAACACATCTCAGACAGGTAGCCTGCTCTACACGTAAAAGCTCCAAAGAGTTTCAAACATATTCCTAAATGTTGTAGTTCTCCAAATAAGAAAATGTTTAGGATGCATGATATAATGTAATAGAGACATATGAGAAATAGAGATATTACATATAGAGATATGTAATAGAGACAATAGAAATATTATGGCAAGACTTTACTGTCTCCAAAATTCAAGGCAAACAAAATGGTCTAGCTTTATGTCTGCACTATATTAAGATTAATAGTATTGTTATTATTTTCTTAGTTCCTGACAAGCCAGAATTTCACAATTCGTCTTTCTTCAGTAGTGGATGGATTCAATGGAGACCACTGTCAGACTGCACAGGAACCATAATAGCATATGAGGTAAAATAAACTTTTACAATCATAACAGTACAGTAACTCCACAACAAGTTAAAATAATTATTTTTTATGACAAAGAACAGCATTTCCAGGTACAAACATACAGTAGGCATATGAGAACCTGCATACAACGGAAGTACAATTGCTAGGACCTAATTTTCAACAAAGGCAAAGAAATGTGCTTCCCACTGTTCCCTGGGTTTACAACTGAGGTCAGCTGTAGGTTCCTTCAAATTAGCCATGATCATTAGTTCATGATTATTGAACAGGTCAATCTAGCTACAGAAAATTTACACAATGATTTCAGCATTTCAGCCAAAAAAGACAAACCTTACTGGACACCTCTGTGATCAGAATCACTTTGTTGAATAATGTATTCAAATAAAAATAGTGAAACTCCAGTTATCTAGGAATGTAAATTTTGCCATAAAATAGTCTCTACACTGTATGTACAGTATGTAATCCAAAATTAACTTTTGTGAATAAGTACTGTATATACTGTACAGTACTGTCATACTGTTGGCCAGCCAAGAATATGGCTAACATGACAAATACCCAAATATAATTAGATAAAAACCTAAATATTATTGTCATTGTACAAATTGAGGACTTTGAAAGTTTTTATAAACATCTTTATTTTTTTCTGTGTGTTTAAATCCCAAGGCCACCAAATGGAAGCTCTTGCTGAACTCAGGTGACAGCAATTAAATATACTGTTTTAGTAATCTGAGGCAATTGTGTTGTAGAATTTGCTGCATCAATCTGACAAGTGTAATTGATGCTTACTCTGTGAGTGATTCTCCATTTTAAAGGATGTATCTTAACATTTTCGTTTTCTGTCCTGCAGCTGAACTACACAGGGAAACGAGACTATAATGATTCATTCATAGAAACATATTCTGTCCTTGTGAATTCCTCTGTGACAAGCTATAATCTTCCAAATTTAAAAAGTGCAACTAACTATTCTTTGGGAATCCGTGGCTTCACTGAGGCAGGTGCTGGAGAAGTGTCCCTTGGGAATTTTCAAACAGAACTAAAGGGTATCAGTTTTGTTTCTGTGTGATTAATTTATGAATATCTTAATAATGAACAGGACAGACATTAACACAGATTCACAGTTTTTGGCAGGTTCTAGTGGTATGTAATAATGCCTTTTACTGCCAGTTTCATTAATCTCAATTACAGCTACATCTAAATGACATATTGTCTTCTATTACTCTCACCCTAGTTTTCTTGTATCCATAATATAAAATGAGTTAGCAGAAAAAACATTATAATAATACAAAATAATAAATATAAAAGTCTTAATTTGTTTAATCAAAATAAACATTTGCTTTCTATTTGCTTCTTGTTTTATTCAGTGTCTAAGCAGTCCTGTAGTCACATTTTAGTTCAGATCTACAGTATTAAGCAGATAAGAGCAAGCTAGAAAACAGCAGTTAATACTGATATAGGCTTTTAGACTCATATAGCATCCTTCCCATGTCATTGACTGCAATCTTTTCTTACTCTCATGTAAACCCTTTTGGTTTTAGGATAGTGGTGACTTCCTTGTAATTCAGATATTTGTCTTTACAGAACCAGTTATTCCAGAAACTGAAAACCTTACAGCATTTAATATCTCTAGTGGCACTGCTGTCATTCCTCTGCATCCTGTTCTTGACACCAATGGACCAATTAGGTACAATATCATGTACTAAAGTGTCTTACCATCTAGTTATTTTAATTTTCCTATGGATGATATACTGTATGAGGAAACATAGTGTAGCTGTTGAACATGTGCTTGTAATCCAAAACAGCAAGCTGAACAGAATGTAAACTCTGCTCCAATATCCTTGGTGATCATGTTCTCAGCCTGGAAGTACATGCTACAGGAAATTAGAGCAGAGTAGATTAAATCAGAGCTCTTTGTCATGCCTTTAGACAGGCAGTCAAAGCTTAAGATTCCTGGCAATGCATTCAGATAAGACAAAATAAGTATAAAGTGAACATACTGTACTTTGGCCACAAAAGCTTCAGTTAATTTCTAAATATGATTTTTGGCATTTTCCAAGGTAGATTCAAATGTTTGCATATTATTGCTTATGATCAAGCCCGTCTTTAATGTAAGACATTTGTTTATATTTTTCAGCTAGTTCTTATTGAAGGTAATTGCAGACCTTTTTAATAGTCTGACTAGGTAACAGAACTGTGGTGCATGGTTTCATACAAAGGAGAAGAAAAGAAATTTCTCAAACTCTTTGACTCATTTCTTTGTCATGAAATAACGAGACTAACTTAAAAATATACTGTACAAGTCATTTCATTCAAATAACTTTGATGCTGTTTCTTCAGTTTATTTTTTGTATTAATTTAACAAAAAGTCATTTGAGGTTTTTTTTTTACTGGGTCCAAAACAGGGCAGAAAAGGATGATTCAACCCGGGTTTAAGTATTTTCAAAGGATAATGGAAATCTCTCAGTACTGATTAATGAAATCTTTAATGACAAATGACCTTACAGGGTGCATTCCTACATGTTTTTAGAGATTCACATTTAGACAAGCAGTAAAAAAACATCTACTACTACAGACTAGTATTACCCTAATTTGTGCTTGTCAGTGTAGTGTAGCCATGTCCTAGCTGTGCCCTCGTTGCATATTCTGTCTTTCTTTGTATATTTATATGATTACAATACACCTTGGTGTACCCTTGATTTCTCCTTTTTATCTTGTAGCAGTTACCAGGTTATTGTACTGGAACTGGAATCTGTCTCAGGCAGGAACAGAAGTTTGGCCAACATCTGTGTCAGGATGGACCTGGCAGGCTTCAACAGCAGTAGTGCTGGGAGCATCATCTATATTGCAGGAGAAATCCCAGCAGAGAACCTGAGCAGTCTGCCAGAGTTCACTGTGGGAGATGGGAAGCTGTATGGGCAGTACTACAATGCACAGTTACAACCTGAGAAAAACTATTCCATCATATTCAGGGTGATTAGTAAATGGAAGCAGGTACACCTCAACACAGCTGCCTTCACTGAATACTCAGAAAGCGAAACCACTCAGAAAATAGAAGTACTAAAACAAATTATATATAATTATTTTAATTCCTGATATAAGATGTACTGTACATATGCTGTTTATATTAATATCTACAATCTTCCAATTGGAGATTTTAAGATGATATATTTGATTACACAAGTGGTTGATAAAATGATGTTATTAGCATGATTGTTAGATTATTTTACCTAATCAATTCATCCCATTTTAAAATGATCTGGAAATAAATGCAGGAGGTGCAGAAGGAATTGATATATCTGTCTTTCTCGCTTTTTTTTTTTTCAAAAAAGGAAGTGAGATTCTCTTGCTCAGAATATGAACCATTCTATGGTAAGTAAAATTGTTGTTACTGACAGTGTTACTGCTCTCTGGTTCAGTGCAATTTTTAGATTGTATCAAAGGCAATCAAAGAGAAAACATTTTAAATAAATGGACTAGTGCTGTTCCATTTTAACTGTAAAATGTTTTGAAACTTGGGAAGGTTTACCTTGGATACTGTCACTGCTATAACCCTCAGGTGTCCAGGGATATGGCTCAGATAACATCATACCAATCTGCTGTATTTCTATTTAGAGTTTACCTATATTTTTTCATGTGTTTTCTTAGGAGTACTGTTACAGAGACAGAGAGTCAGTGCAAGTACTCTCTGTATTTCAATGTTGGTCTGTTTTATTTCTCATTAAAAATTGTTGTCAAAGATTGTATTCATTTCTTGATGTCTGGAATAATTCATGTGGACAGTATCCTCAGGTTTCCTGGGGAACATCACAGGAGGTTCAATGATCATTAGTTCTATTACAGAGAGATATTCACTCATCCAAAACCTGCATGTGTTTACTGAGCAATTACATCATTTGAGATGTTCAATCAAACACCCAACTGTCTCAAATAACAATCACCAGGTATAATTAGGATTGAAAAAATTACATTTCTCCATAATCTGTGAGTGGCATGGCATGAAAGATTAATATTTCTCCTACTCTTAATATCTAGTTCCTGCAGAAGTCCAGCATGATGCTTCTCACCAGCTTCTAAAGATCTGTCTTTATGTATTTCTACCCGTGACCTGCACTCTTCTTCTTGTCTTTCTCATCTTCATTTGGTTAGTATTAAATTTATTAGATTCATTTTGTTATCGTATACAGAGTTTTTTTTATAATTTGGTGAAGGTAGAGCTCATGTTCTGAAAAAAGTGGATTCAGACAATTGTTGTTCTTAAATAGTTCTTAAATAGCCTTTAAATGAGCATATGTACTGTACAATTGAATGGCAGAGAGAAAGTGAAATACATACTTTACTGTATAGTATGCAGTTCACACAGGTTTTTGCATATGTTAGAAAAAACTTGTTCTTTTTTTACAGGAGATGCACCCCTCACCATGGAAAGTATATAGACAATAATGCCTTGGCTCTATCAGTTACAATACAATCAGGTAATTAATTAGAACGTCTAGCATACAGTTTTATTTTATAATAATGACTTTAATTATCTATAGTATATGTTAAAGTGCTTCTTCCTGATAACAAAAGTAAAACAAACATTTATAAGAGTGTAAAAATGATAAAAGCCAAGATGGGCTAATGCACAGAAGGACTCCAAAGTAATACATTATAAAATGAAAATAGGAAGACATCTTCAGAAACTATTAACCAAATCTAAATCTAAATGTTAAAGTCTTAAATGAAACTTTTTTTTTCAGCTTTGTTATTTTCACACCCACTTTCAGAGTTCAGATTGTGTATTTTCGAATCTTGGTTCACACCTAAGTAAAGACCCTGAACCCACACACATGGAAAAATAAGGAAGTGTAGACTGACTCCTTCAGGTTTTGAGTCACTAATCTTCTACCACATCACAGAACACACACCACAAGCCATGCTTGGCTAATGCCAAACCCAACAACACCCATAGTTGCCTAGTAGCACAACCCAGGCTTGAACCCCTGATGCCTGGATCATATCACTGCACTCTGAAGGGCCCCATGAAACTAAGACATCCAGGGACCTAATTCAGACAACTTTCAAAAGGAATCTTTGAGAAATAATAGACCAAAAACGCAAAATCAATAATTAATGTACAGTATACAAAAATTCTTCATACATGTATAGGTCATTTTAAAGAAGCAATGTCTTCTGTTTTTGCTGCCTGGTGCCCTTGGCCTATCAGACACTATGCCTGTGGAGCAGCTGATACAGCACGTGATCCACATGAAGCAAGACTGCAATAGAGAAGCAGAAAGTGAGGAGGAAGGGGGCCTGACTAAGGAATTCAAGGTAAGAACCCCCAAGGTTTTTCCAAATCAGGTAGATTAACAATAAATTATTGATCATTCTAAATGTTTTAGATTAGGTTTATTAAAACGCGCACATAAAATATTGTGTGCAATTTGGTAACCTTAATAAATACCTGCACAATACAGTACCTCACTCCTCTGGAATTAGTCCAGATGACAGCAACTAGACAAACTGTACTACAGGGCTCAATAGAATGTCCTACCCTCAAAAGCTAAAAGCTTTATTTAATTTTTAAAAATGAATATTACGAAGGAGGCCTAAGTCATCAATTTAAAATCCTCAAAGGAATCAACAAACTCAATTTAACAGTTTAGTTTTACTTAAACCTAAGAAGATTTATGGGAATCTGGAACAATTGCTGAAGCCAACAATATAGTATCTTCCAAGAAGTGGATGAATGAAATCCACATCTACTGTATTGAAACCGGTAGGAACATGCATGGTGGGGAAATGACTTTTTTTCTTTTGTAAATGTTCTTGGTTTTACTGTCTTAATATTTATGCTTTTGTAGATCATGTGGGTTTGGGGTCAGGGTTAGTTAATTTGGTTAAAAGTGTTTATGCCCCACCCATTAGCCAAGGCATTATCAGGCAAAAAATGTCCTTCATAGTGCTATCTCTAGGGATACATACTGTATCATGTTGGTCGTTTTATTGGAAAACACAAACACTGTAGGCTGATGATACTGTATACTGTTATATACAAATTTGCCTATCTGTACCTCATCTATTAACTATGTTTTCGTGCATTTAAAGTTTGCAACAGAGAAAACCTGCTTTTTACCTTCAACCTGTACTTTGGAGTGATAAAAGGATTCATAATATTTTGGCAAATATTCTTTAATATGGATTATTTTCACTGATTCCACAAATTTGGTATCTTATTAAAATATATGCCTTCATATATGGCATGTATGATCTTCAGGGGAAAAACAAAGGGACATATTTGCAGATTAAGAAATATCCTGTGACAACATCTAGGGTAATTTGGTCTCCAAAAATCTAAATTGTATATGTTGACTGAAGTGGAGGGGCTTCAAGGAGTACCAAGGCTTGAAGTGCTGCATGTGATGCAGTCAAGTCCAGATTGCATCTTGCCCCTGTCATCACTGTCTATTTCCTGCCTAGGGCTCAGGTTGGTCATTTTGAAAGAGCTTCATTTATGATGAAGGTCTACACTGTGTACAGTATAGTTTAGTTCTATGCATATTTTATTCTAATTTTGTTTTCCCCTTTTTTTTAAAAAAAGTTCAAAACATAAAAAACTAGTTTACAAAAATAATACCCTTTAAGTGTTTGTGTTGAAAATGTAGGTGACCAAATAATTACAGACTTTAACTGATTTCACTTTGCTAAAATCTTCTGTTAAATCAAGTACTGTGCTTTCATTTATTTTAATATGTGGGTTCTATTGTTATTGCAGAACATTTAACCTGTGATTACAGTCTCATTTTCTAAGATGTCCTTGGTTAGACCTTTATTTCTTCTATGGGTTCTATTTATATCCCTTGTTTGAATTACAAGATAGAAAAAAATAAGTAGCTGTATTCTGATGTTAATAATTTTCCTTTGTAGAGTTTACCAAAGAGCTGCTTTGGTACCTGTGAGGCTGCAAAGAATCAGTCTAATAAAGGAAAAAACCGCTACAAAAATTCTGTTCCCTGTAAGTGGATATTTAATAAATAAGCTACTGTACAGTATATATCATTTTAACAGCATTTTTCAGGTGATTTAACATTTGTGTTAAAAAGATACATCATTGAAGCAGATACAATTACAATAGTTATTATGAGTGAATTTGTTTGTTTTAAGCATATTTCTTGGGTTAAGGAAAATTTACAAATCTGATGACTGGAGAGACCGATTGCAGAACTGCTCAGTTACAACCCCAACCCACAGTACAATTGTGACTTCATGGCTGCATTTTGGAGACCAAGTGAACTTTAGGAAGAGAGAAAGTTTTCTCCCATCTCCAATGTTTCGAATACATTTAGCTGCTTACATTGTATTGCACTGTTCAGGAATTGTATTACTACAATGAGTTGAATTTAAAGCTTTAAGAAAACACATTTCACTGGGTACTCTCTCAATTTTTTTCATTTCCAGTGGAATCATAAGTTTAAATAGAGTGCAAATTGCACGATTCTTGCAACCCAAACCCTAACAGTACAATGTTGTCAAACTGACTATTGTGAAAGAAGGGTATGTGAATATTAATACTTCTGTAACATTTTGTAGATAAGAACTCTACAATTCTACAAAAGAGCATTGAAACCAACTGCATTTGTTTTCTTTCAGCACTATAGATACTATAACATAATTAAGCCATCCCTGGCAAAATCACTGAGATACAAAATGATCAATCAATCAAGGAGTTAACATAAATCACTGATGACTAGCACTGAAATGCAAGACCACTCGTTTTTACACTAAGACATGTCTACTCTAAGAAGACATGTAAATTAACTTATTTCATAAACAAACTCAAACTCAGATGTGCATTGCACTTTTACAAATTGAA